GGGGGGGGGGAGGAGAGAGAGAGGGCAGCAAATATGGAGAGAGGTGAGAAATGTTGTGAAATTTTTAGGTTTGGGTTAAAATTGCTATTGATTCTTTGTACTTATATTTTTACCTTTAAATCCTTCAAAATCTATCTACTTAATGAAATCTTTTAAAATCAACTAGTTATTGAGGACATCTAAATTTCAAAACTACCTATTAAAATCTATGTTGAGGACATCTAAATTTATAAATATTTTTAAAAATCTAGATTGGGGACACCTATATTTTAATGAATTATATTTAAATCTAAATTGAAGATACTTCAATTTATACGGAGTTTTAAAATCCATCAAACTCTAGATTGAGGACGTCCCTCTTGGCTCTTGGAAAACTGAAACGAGGGTGTTTTAGTCATTTTTCATTTTGCCCATCCCAACTCCTCAGCCCTAAACGCAGCTTCTGCACCACCAACAGCCAAGTACCTTTTCTTCAGCTTTGCATTCTTTAAATTTACCAAATCAGTATAATGCACTTATAGATACAGAGTGAGAATGGGTAGAGAGATGGCTAATTCAACACCTAATCAGAAGCAGCAGCCGTCGGCGATGTCGTACACCGTGGAGCAACTCGTCGCCGTCAACCCTTACAACCCGGACATCCTTCCAGATCTCGAAAACTATGTGAATGAACAAGTACGTTATATACGTGCGTGTGTACTTTGTTTATCTGCCTATTTGTATTATTTTGTATGTTTATTTGGATTTTAATATGCTAAATTTATGAATTTTTGTTTTCGAATTGTGAATTGGGAAAAGTAGGTCTCTTCTCAAACGTATAGTTTGAGTGCAAATCTCTGCCTTCTTCGTCTCTACCAGGTTAGGTCCCTTTTTTTTGTTTAATTAATTCTAATGTTTTGCTTTATAGATAATTGTAATATTTGTCAATTTACTAATTTTATGCATTTCCTAATGCAGTTCGAGCCAGACAGAATGAGTACTCAAATTGTTTCCCGTATTTTGATTAAGGTACAACGAGGAAATTTATTGAGTGAAATAAAAATTAATTGTCCTGCTTTTTTGGTTCTTTCTTTATTAATTCTTTATTTTGTGTGGTTTGTATGATTTTTAATTTTGCATGGAGCAGGCTTTAATGGCAATGCCGGCACCAGATTTCAGCCTTTGTCTCTTTTTAATTCCTGAAAGAGTGGTACTTCTCTTATTTTCATCACACTTCTCACGAGTGTAGTGTAATTCCATAAAGTTGTGTAATACTTATATGTTACCTTTTAAGCATTGTATTTTATGTATTTTGAAAAATTAGTGATGATTTCATTGGCGTGCGATATTATTGAGAGCAATGTTAAATTACAGTTTAGAAATGATAGCGAATCACATTTTCTGAGTCAATCACCAAAGAGATTTTGAATTCATTAAATAGATGGACCGTTGTTTGGTATTTATTGGGGAAGTCAGAAATAGAATTGAAAACAATCTGTATTAATTTTAAATGGTTATTAACGACTTTCAATTCCACTCCAAGCAAAAGATATTTGTTCACATTGGGGTTAACTTCAAGGAATTTTCTGTCTGTGAGTGTTTTGGAGTCTTAGATGAACCCTAGTCCTGCACTAATTGGAGCAACTGACTTGGTTGATGGCTTATATTCCTGCCATAGTCTTTCGAAAAAACTATGCTATTCATATTTTGTGGATGAGCATTTCTAGTCCATTTGTTTCCACAGCAAAATGGGAATAAGAGGTGACATTATATACTTAAAGTATAGATACCTTCCAATTCGACACCTAATGGCACATACTAATTTCGTTTTACACATCACCAAAAGAGGGGAAAAAAAATTCCAGTATGCTTTAGAACTATTTATGGAGAAAGTTAAAATTTTTGAAATGTTGATATGGTTTTTCCCCCCTGTAAAAATGATATGTTTGTGGACTGAGTTTGTTGTCTTTTCTTAGCTTTTTAGGACACATGCTGCATTGATTTCAGCCAATCATTTCTTAGAATTTAGACATTCCTTTCACATTTCCTCTGATCGGTTCTCTTCTCTTGTTGACATTACCAGCAAATGGAAGAAGAGTTTAAGACGCTCATTGTTCTCTCACACTACTTGGAGGTATGTTTTTTTTTTTTTTTTAACTGCATATTCATTGGGTCTTGAAACCATGTACTTAGGTTGAATATCTGAATTGGCATACAATGATAAGACAGAGATCTTATTATGTTCCTTTGTTTTCATCTTCAGACAGCCAGGTTCTCCCAGTTTTGGAATGAAGCAGCTAGGAGTCGCCACATAGTAGATGCTGTACCGGGTATTCCAAAATATAAAATGTTGCTTTTATATTTTTTTTCCTTGCATCCCAGTTCATTTATTATGTACTCACTGCATGGCGTTGATTTCCCATCACAAGAACTGAGCTGTTTTTCTCAAAGTATTTTTTTTTTTTTTTGTTAACATAAAAGACTTGTGGAGATGAGGTATTGGGTCATTATGATGAACTTTTGATGTAAATGGATAATATAGAGTTGCATTCTGATTTTCCGTGATAGATGATCTTTCAAATATGTTGGTCTTCATGCCTGTATGTATTTGGGGCAGAGGGAGGCGGCATTAATGAACCCTTGACACACTAGAACTTTCCATGTTTTTGTCACATGCTAAAGTGATTGTCAATGTTATTTTATTAACAGAAAGAGAGATGATTAATGTGTGATTGATGGAGGCATTTCATCTCCATGTGCTGCCTACTAATCATGATTTTACGAGTCTAATGATGATGCCATGTTCAATCTTGATACGTGAACTTAACATGCCTGTATTGGAAAATTAGTTGATGCATGGATGATATTTTCATTGTGGGAAAGATAAAGCAATCTCTCTCTCTCTCTCTCTCTCTCTCTCTCTGTTCCCTGGAACAAACTGCGCAGTTTGCTTCCTAGAATTCAATATATTCTTTGATGTGGTCTGTTATTGGACATGCATGTACATCTAATAAAGTTGCATATAAAATTTCAGGGTTTGAGCAAGCAGTTCAGGCATATGCAGTTCATGTACTTTCACTGACTTTCGAGAGGGTTCCGAGATCTGTTCTTGCCGAGGTATGGTTCTCTGTCCTGATAGTTATTTTATTGCCTAGTGCTTAGAATAATTTTTGATGCCTGGAGAAAGCTCTCGACTCACTTTCTCAACTAGCAATAGTGATTAATGCTTCTCTGTCTACAGTTTCCCAATTAGCTTTTTATCAAGTTGGTTCTAGTTGTGAAATTAGCTTGTGCATATTGTAATTGGTGCGGATATTTCACAGGCCATCAACGTTGAAGGTCTGTCTCTTGACAAGTTCATCGACCACCATGTATCCAACCCAGACTGGGCTATAGAGAAAAGTCAGGATAAGGGCCAACTCATTATTCTCCCAAGAAATGAATTTAACCATCTAGAGCTCAAGAAAAGTACCGTAGACAGTGTTCCATTGGAGCACATCGCCCGTATCTTCCCCATTCTTGGCTGACAAGATCCCAAATTTTGCTTTATTGATCGAAGCCGAGAATGGATATGACGTGTAAGCTGCACTCATAGGGTGGATATAGGTTCTGGTCACAGGCTAAACTGAAATCCTTTTTAATTTGCCATGTTTTTATTGATTTGATGTAACGATTATAAAACCACTTTTTAATTGGATTACGAGGTATTTATGCCTCATCTCTATGGAGAGTTTACTAGGCGCCTGCATTCCTTACCCCGCTGGAGTCATTTGCAATGTCTATGCAGGGCTTCCTCTACTTTTAAACAAGAGCAAGGTCGCCATCAACTTTTTAATATAATTATATAATTAATCTTGAATGAGAAAAATTGACTAAATTTTCGTTTTATTGTCATATGGCTTTCGTGAGTAAAAGGTGCTTTGTGGCATGATTGAAGGGAAAAATACATAATTACAATACTTAAAGTATACTATTTCACATTTAACAAACTTATAAAAATATTTCAAAATCAGGTTATGAATTACAATAATAATAGAAATCCAATTCAACTCTAATCTCTACACAAAGACCCCAATCCGCCTTCCACCATATCCACCCCATTACCAGGATACATCCATGCGATGATAACCACACCATCCATACTCAGCCATGGCGAATCTCTACTCAAATTCTCTCTCTAAAGAAATAACCACACAAATGCATACATCTATGGCTAGAATAATCCCTATGGCTTCATTAATTAGACCCTCGCTCTCCTATTTCAGGTCTCGCTTTGCTTACATATTCATAGTGTTGTTTTAATCCGCATCGGCTTGGAGATGGAAATATTGGGGATAAGGGGCTGTCTATGTTCGTAGGCAACATTTGGAATTGCCAAAATGAAGAGCAAGAGCAGCTCCGTTTAAATAAAGAGATCGATAACATACGTACTCGCTTCAAGAATGGAAAGGCAAATTGTAAAACACAAACATTTGCACGTATATGCATTTGGGCAAGTATATGGCTTTGCTAATTTAACTATTTGATCAACTTAAATTGTTCATTTGGAATGTAGATTTTTTTATTTAGTAATCTGACATGAGTGGTAGGTGAAGATCGATGAAATTAACTTGGGAATATATATCTGGATCTGGTTATTTGTCCATGAAAATTCGAGTTGTGAAGCAGAGAAATCCAAAATTTCACTATACACTGGAAAATATTATCGTCAAAATCAATGGAAATGGAGCTGCTCTCGGCATTGGCACAGAATTTGTATAGTAAGCTAGTATCAGCCTAATTTTTTTATTTGTGAGGGTTGCTGCAGTGTATGTGATTTCATTTGTCTTTGCACTTTAGATCTTTTTCTTGTGTAAAAATGGAAGCTTGCTTCCATTAGACGTGATGGTAAATACAAATCCTATTTTCATTAGTAAATATTGATCCTGTGATATGGGTGACAGAATCGATGAACTTTGTGCTAAAGAAAATAGTGTGATTTGTGATTAATGGAAATTATATCATTTGTTGGTGAGATTGGCCCTAAAATTCAAGGGAAACGGTGCGATCTGTCACTAATAAAAATATTAGTGATCTTGACCAATTAATTGTATATTTGTAATTAATAAATTACTCGTGACCTATTAATTATTTAATTTATGACATCATATGTGATTGTAACTCATAAATTATGTCGTAGGTAGTAACCTTTCGTACTTGTGACTTAGCATGTGACTGTAATCCTTGAATTGTGTGCCATATGATTATGACCTGTTTAATTTCAATTATATACCACAGCATTTATTGAAGTCACAAATGTGACCACTTAATTTTTGAATGGTCACAATCACTCTTACATATCTCTCTAAAATCATCATCATCATCATCATCATCATCATCATCATCATCATCATCATCATCATCATTATTATTATTATTATTATTATTATTATTATTTTCCCAAAAATCAGGTTGTCACATTTTGAGACTTCTTATAAAATTTTGTAACCTATAATATAATTAATTAGATCACAATCACAATAACACATAATTTATAGTCATGGTCAAATACGACAAATCATACAAGATCACAGTAATAAAAACATAATTTGTAGGTCACAAATTATTTATTGGTTACAATTTACCAAATCAACTGGTCACAACTCATTGTATTGTCACAAATTATCAAATTAATAGATCATAATTTATTTTTCGATCACAAAGACATAAATCATGCGTCACAATTACAAATTTACTCATAATCACATATTTTGAGTTCAAGTAATATTTATTGGTCGTAATTACCCGTTTTATTGGTTACAATTGCTCAATAACTAATCACGGCTTATTTTTTTATATCAAATCACAAAATGTACAAGTCAAAACTTATTTCGCCATCACATATTATCAAATTAATTGGTTATAAGTTATTTCTTGATCATAATTATTAAATTAATTAGTTATATCTTATCTATCGATCGCAAAATCACAAATTGCATGTCACAATTGCAAATTTAGTACCAAAATAACACATTTTATATGTCACATATTATTCGATCAAATTATCAAATAAATTAATTATAACTTATTTATCGGTCACAAAGACACAAATTATAGGTCAACAAATTTAATCATAATCACATATTTTTTGATTATATATTATTTATTAGTCACAATTACTTGTTTTATTTGTCACAATTACTCAATAATTGGTCAAAATTACCCGATAATTGGTCAAGACTTAATTCTCGATCAAAAATCATAAAATGGTCACAAATTATCAAATTAATTGATCATAAGTTATTTTATTGATCATGAAACCGCAAAATGTAGGTAACAAATTATCAAATTGATTACTCAGAAGTTGTTTATCGATCAAGAAATGACAAATTGTAGGTCACAACTACACATTTATCACACGTTTTTGTATCATATATTATTTAATCAAATTAATTTATTAATCTCAAAGACACAAATTTTAGATCATAATTACATATTTTTTAGACCACGTATTATTTATTTGTCATAAATTACTCGTTTTATTGGTCAAAATTATTCAATACTTGGTCACGACTTATTTTTCTATCACAAGTCACAAAATGTATAGGTGACAACTTACTTTACGATCAGAAATTATCAAATTAATTAATCACAAGTCAATTCTCGATTACGGATCACAAAATATATAGGTCACTACCTATTTCATGACCGGGAATCCACATAATGGCTCATGTATTATTTTTCCAAAGATATTTAATGGTTGAGATAGGCTAAATCTTTGAGCAAGGAGTCAACCTCCATAGTTGAGATCTATGAGTTTGATTCTAGAGATGTCTCATTATTTGTTGGAGCCTCCTCTCGATTAAAAACAATTTTGTAAATTTTATTCAAAAATCAAGTGGTCGCATTTTGTGGCACTTGATAAAAGTTTGGTCACATTTTGTAACCCCCTGATAAAAGGTTATGATCTATAATTACATGATCATAATCACGCATAACTTATGGTCACGATCACATATTAGTTACAAATTACATAAAATCATAGTATTATTTTGTGAATCAATAAATTTAGTCACAAATTAGGTCACAATTATTTTGTGGATCACAATTATTGATCACAAATACCCAATCACAAAAGCTATTCATCACACCCCAACCTCACTCCACTCCATTCCCATGAATTACATTGCAGAATTCACTTTCACTAAGCCACTCCTGAGTTTTACAGGGACGATTGAGTTACTGCCTCACGGTGAACAAATTGTTTAGGTATATTATGTCCAAACATAGGCTATTCAATAGTATGCGTTGGTCTCTTTATGGTGCTTTCCATCCCCGACAGAAAATGGAGTTTTTGAGAAATCAAACTCTGGCATCTACCACACCATCATCAGAACATCCTAAATCTTATCGTCTCTATCTCTTGTCTCTACATCCACTACAGCCACCACCTCAAATAGCTAACCACAACCACCACTTTCACGTACAATCTTCCAGCTAGTTAAAGAAATCCCTAATTCAAACTTGACATTATAGTCGTCATCACCACCTAAAATCATTCATCCACAATCACCACCTCATACCCCTAACCACAACCACCACCTTCACTTACAACCATCCTGTTGGTTATAGAAATTCCTAACTTAAACAAAAATGCAACCCAAACCTTAATCCCACTCCACCATCGAGGTCTTGGCTGCCGACGAAATCGAGACATTTCACCCACGTGAAAATCATTTTCCCCACAAATCTCAAAGTTCTTGGCTGCCACACAGAATCGAGACATTTCTCTTTCAGCACAGTCCAGGAGCCTCTAAGCCATGTGACAGCACTGCTCTCTGATTCTCCATCCTACATCATTACATTCATCAGAAATTCACCATTTATGCCTCAAATCTTACCGTTGATTTTGGCCAACCCTGAAGTCCCACGAGTTCATCTCCATGCTCTGGCTCGAAGTACTGGATATTCCTCTTCTCCACATTGAGAGCTATGACGTTAGTAGGTGTTGATTTAGGGCTTCGTAGAGAGGATCAGTCAAGGGAGTTTTGGTTTATTGGGGTTTGATGGGTGGAGGTGCATGGGATGGGCACGGTGTTGGGTAGGGTGATTTAGTGTGTAATACCTGACTTTTGAAATAATTAACTTAAATCTTGATTTCTGAAATGTAAAGTTAAATAGCAGGCTATGAGGTAATTTTCCCATGATTGAATGGGATTGTGTGGATAGATTGGTTTAATGAGAAAGAGTGAAATCTATGTAATATTAGAACTACTTTAAAAAGTAATGTATGCAAGTACATTGAAACCAAAAACATTTGAAGTCTTTTCTAAGTAGGTGATTATTCACTTATAACAACTTTTAAATTTGAACTTTGATTTTGATTTGTCACGTGAATTTTTTTGTTCAGTTGGAAGAAGGAAATAACGGGTTGTAATTAAAAGTTGCTCATTTAGTCCTGTTTGGTTCCATTATTATAATATAATTATTTTTAGTCATATATTTTACTAGATTTATAATTTTTTGATCATATCTTCCATCAACTTTTACTAATATTGATTTTTATAACCAAACGGGGACTTTAATAACTAAAGTTTAACCAAAACCTAGACCAGTGCATTTTAACTAGAATTGAACTTCCCAATTAGAAATCGAATTGAATTAGAGGTTCTAGTTTGATTCCAATAAAATATAAATTAAAAACCGAAATCGAGAATCAATTGGGTTTGAGTCGGTTATTGAACTAGAACCGTGGATATCGAATGCAACTAGTTATTTTATATGATTTTATTTTTACAATTTATGGGTTGGGTAAAAAAAAATACAAATTTTAGAAATTCTAATTTGGATAAAGATTTGTATAAAACTCTAAGAGGCCGTTTGAACCCCATTATTTGTAGATTATAATGAGATGAACAGTATTTTTTTGAAAAATGAGTGGTTGATAAATTTTTAATTTACGTGTAATATTATTTTATTGAAAATTGTGTGGTTAAAAGTAAGAAATAAAATTTAATTTAATATAATGAGAAATAATGAAGCTTAAACAGGGATTTAAATTCCAACCCTAAGAAATTAAGTCTGGCTCCTACTTTTTTTTGCCTCTTACATCACATCAAATTGTTGCATTAATATGTTAATCTGTACTATCTGAGCTTTCTATGAATCAAAAGCTAGGGTTGTTTAAGTTGATGATTCAAAGCTTTAAAATGTTTTTTTTTTTCATCTTTTTATAACGTTTGACAATTGAACTTAATATATTCAAAGATTTGTTTGGTTCTCTTGTTAAAATATAAATTTTCTTATTTTATTGAAGCAGGAAAAATTTAATATGTAGACTATAATTTCTTGACTCTACATAATTATACCCTTGTTTGCGTCCCTTTTTGAGAGAAAAATACATTTTTAAATAGTGTATTGATAAAAAATATATAGTTAAAAAATAAAGTAAAGTTTTTGATTTACGTGTAATTTTATTATTTTATTGAAAAATATGTTGTTAAAATGATACCAAAATATTGTTTAAGAATTTTTTTTATTTTTTATTTTTATTTTTTCAAAGAGTGGAGCTCAAACAAGGGCTATATTTCGTATCAGTGTTTTTTATGTGAATCCGAAACGAAATCAATGGTTCAGGTTCGAATTTACTTGCAATAATTACTAGAACGTAAATGGTTACAATGTATACATCCGATCCAAGAAAGAATCTTCAGTAAGGCGATTGCAACGCCATCTCAACGGGTGGCCCACCCACACACCAGCCCCGAGGTGTGTTGGCCATCATCGAGGTGGCGCCTCGGCATTGGGTGGTCGCACCACGTGAATGGTGCTAGGGGCAGAGCCAAGAAATTCCTTCAGTCCGGGGCACAATTTAATTGATGCCAAACTTTGAGTTTTTGGACATGGATTTAATGATAAAAAAAATTCATTCTTTGATACCGTTGTACAATAACTTCGTTTTCAATCTTAAAAAATGCATCTTGTTTAAAAAATTGAATTTCCATGGTAGGATGTATTGCTTTATCGTCTTACAAAAAACTTGAATATCTCGTCGTTACAAAAAACCTTTGCCAATTTATAGATGTATTCTATCATAGTTGAGAAGATAAAAACTTCGATCAATCATATTGCAATTGCCTATTACACTTATCTTTAGCATACTAATTCAACAATATTGACAAGTGATCTTCCACTTATTCAAGCACAAATGAGTGATTGAGAATGACGAAATAGTTTATTTTCCAATAGTGAAAAAGAAGAGGAAGCTGTCTATGAATACGTAACAACAATATTTAAATTCAGAGACATAAAAATAATCAAATTACCCAAATAAAGCTCTCCAAAAGATTCACTACCAAAATTTTCTCCTTAACAGAAACTTTCTACCAATCACCCAATCCATAATTAATTTCCCAAAATTGATAAAATAAAATAAAAATTTATTTCACAATTAGTCAATCAATACCAAAAAACATCAAATCCCATACTTCAAAAATGCCATTTAGATTCACGAAATCATCGTAGAAATTAAATAATCCAAAACCTCCAAAAGTTCATTTATTTTGAATTACCTGAAAATTTTGAAAAGTTGACAAATATTGTCCATCCCATCATTGCATTCCAAATATGGGGCACTCAAACAAAAAAAATAAAATAAAAATAAAAGATAAATTGGAATGGGCATGGGGCCCAAAGTTTAGTGCGGGCTCTTGCCCGTATTGGACCATGTGGGGCTCCGCCCCGAATGGTTCCCCCGCAGCATCGAAGATCCTTGCCTGAGCCCATACATTCCGTACATGCACCCATTGCACCATGGAGAACATTTCACCGTCCTGATCCTGGTCTACAGCTGACCGGTTTCTCATAAGAACTGGTACAAATTTTTAGCTAAAATAGCCCTTACCGCGAAATTGAAAAAGGATCCCTAAATCAGTCTCCTGGAATCAGATAAAGTGGACATCAATATTGTCATCAAATTCTTGTCCACCAATGTCGTCGAACAAGCGTCATCACAAAGAGAAGATAGCTCGTCGTATAAAGTGCGTATTTTTCTACAATATTTTCCATTTTTAACTAATGTTTTTTACTTGTTTGGTTTTTCGGTTCAATTTTTGATATTTGAAGTGAAATTCTTCTATTTTTTTGGGTATTTTTCTCCCTTTTTCTGTGTTTTTATTGTAACTAGCTTTTAGTTAAATAGCTTATTTTTGGTTGTTTTGTAAATGAAATTCTCGCCTTTTTTCGACTTTTCTTTATTTTTGGGTTTTTTTTTTTTGGATTTCATTTTAATTAATTTTTAGTTGATTAACGTATATGGGAATATTTTTGGAAATGAAATTCTTGTATTTTTCTGCGCTTCTCCGCCTTTTTTTTGGGGGGGGGGGGGGGGGGGGGGGC